AGATTAATATTGAACTTTCTATTTAATACTCCGGTATCAAAGTTATTTGAGAATTGATGAAGTTCTAATCTTATTAATTATTACAGAATAAAAAGTAGGCGAGTTGATTCATATGTATCTAGGATTCCAAGTAGTGTTTTTTGAAATACACGACAAACGACCTTAAATTAGCTTACTGGTTACATACGAAGCATGTATAATTTGAAATACCGGTTAGCGGTTAACCGGTCATATCTTATTTTCAAAACCATAACCGTACCGTGTACCATTTTTTCTTGCGGTTGGTTAACCGTACCATGATTTAATTAAAATCGGTACGGTTAACCGAAAAAAATAACGGTTTTTCGGTTTTTCGGTATGGTTAAACGGTTACGGGCTTTTGTGCCCACCCCTAGTACTCCGTATTAGATTTCAATAGATATCAACCCGATCAGATCAAATTTAAACAGACTAGAGATGCTTTTACTTGGACTGTAATTCCTCCCAGATCAGACCAGTTCAGACCAGTTCAGACCAGATCAGACTTGGATAGTTATAAAAATACAAAGAAACCAGACCAGTTTAGATCAGACCAGACCAGCAAATTACAGTCCAAGTAAAAACATCCTAGGTCTGGTCAGACTAGACTTTTTTATTGAAAGGAAACTCGCATAATCTATTAAATCAAACTCTCAGTGTGTAAGTGAGAGATAGAGGAATTACAATCAATATAATAACCATATGACACTAACCTCCCTCTAACCAACACCAACCATAAGCTCACCGGTCTCCTTACTTCCTTGTCAGACATAGAATAGTTCACCCCAAAAAGCGAGATTAATCGCTGAACATGTGAGAGTTTTGAACCTATTAGCGGCTGAGTTAGCCTGATTGCCTTATACCCGTGCACACTAGAGGTCCATCCCAACACACAGGAGTTGTAACCTCCACACGGCCGCTGTGAGTTTCGATCCTTGATCGATGTTCCAAGTTTCCCACAACTCAATCAACTGAGCTACCCATGTGGTTTACATTAATTATGTATTTTGACTACATTTTGTTTATTAATGTAAGAGAAATTTACTTTGCGAAAAGTATTTTTAAATTCATCTCATTATGAAGTTTCAAAATCCGATGTTTAAATGTGTTTACTTATTGTGGAATAAATGTACTACCGATCAAGATTACTACCTCCGTCCCTTAAAACTTTGCCAAAGTTGACCGGCACGGAGAATAATAAAGTAAAAACTGTATGGTTGAGATTTGTGCAGAGGAGAGAGAAATAACAGAAACCACAAAATAATTGATTAAAAAGGAAAGTGACAAAGTTTTTTTAGACGTCCCAAAAGGAAAGATGACAAAGTTTTAAGGGACGGAGGGAAGTATTTGTTTGCTAATGTGAAAATGAGATTATTGCAATTAAAATAAACGGAAACGGAGTAATACACAAAGTAATGCGTGGGAATTGCACAAAGCAATTGATAGAATTAGGGGTGGGCAAAAAAATCGGAAAATCGGTATACCGCACTTATCGTTCCGAAAAATACCGAAAAATACCGGACTATTGGTATACCGTCATTTTCGGTACGGTATCATACCGTACCGATTTATTTTGGTACGGTAATGGTAAATGTTTTCAAATACCGCGATATACCGGTATAATACTGTATCGACTCCCTACCCAACATTACTTTTAATTTTAAAAATATTGTAAAAGTCCATTACAATTTTGAAGCCCAAAATTAATACTCCGTACTTACATTGGTTACAAATCCCTCATGACTAATGAGTAATGTACTAATGTCCAAAAACAAGTCCATCTTGTTCCAAGAGTTTGCGAGTCGCGATGGTTGATTCGCTGAGTAACTGATGAGTGAAGAGTGATACACTTATGTGACATGTGTATCTACATAGGGATTCCACAAGTCGAGACACACAACTTTGTTCGCAAGTCTTATTAGATTTTTTTAAATTATAAAAATGACCAAATACACAATATCATATTAGGAATAAATGATTTTATATCCATGTATCCATGTTGTTTGAAAATTTTATTTATTATTGTTAGAGATCACTGTTGATTTAATTATATCTATATTGTTCAAGTTATTCTAGGAGAATGTGTTATTTTTTAATACGTGGCATGTTGAACTGCTTAAATATACTAATAATAATTATTTTTCAATATTGAATATGAAATCAATAGATTATTAATTGTATTTGTAACATTTTAATAATGGATTAAATATGTCACTAGTAACACCGATATAGCATATTTCTTTAGTCTATGATAATTTGTTTTATTAGGAGACATGCATGGTAATTTACCAATTACCGATAGCGTTACCGAACCGAAACTTCGTTATACTGAAATGCGGTATACCAAAACTTCGGTAAGGTAACAATATATAAATTTTGCATACCGAAAGTTTTGATACGACAAAGGTATGAGAGAAAATATTCGGTATACTCTACCGAACCACCCCTAGATAGAATTGAAAGGAATAGCTCAACCTTATATGCTGATGTTTGTGTCCCAAACCGACGAAGTATAAACTATTAAATCAATATATAGATTAGTGGTTACTCCTTGTATGAGATTAAACTTTTATGATTCAACACCAAGGCTTAATATAAGCAGAGACTTGTCGTTTGATGATTGTTCATTTGGCACATTGATTAAGAGTAGTTCTCCGCTTATTATAAGCAGAGACTTGGCTAGTTGGCTTAATATAAGCAGAGACTTGGCTTAATATCTACTACGTACTTCTTAAGGATTTGTTTAGCTTATTTATTTATCTACTTCTTAAGTTATCCGCTCTACTTTGGGTTGAGGGTGTTGAAGTACTCATCTCATACTAATATACTATACGTATAAGATTAGGAGTGGACACGGTCTGGATAATAGATTTTTTTTCAAGAACCGTCCATTTCATTTAGCGGGTAAGTTCGGTCTGACTGTCCGAGTATACCAAATCTCAAAATAGGAACCAGATCATACCCGCCGCGTTTGAAATGAGCCGATTCGGTTCGAGTTCTCGATTCTTTTTTTGTAAAAAAAAAACGACTATGCTAGCAAATTTTCTAGTAAGTTATTAAATTCTCAAACTAATCAAGTATTAATGTAACCATAATATAGTAAAGATTCCAAATAAAAATATAAAATAATATTTTAAATTAGTTAACAAAATATCTTACAACCAATCTATAAATTGAATTGAACACAACCAACTAAATTAAAATTCTAATCATTATTCATAAATAAAAAAGATAGCACTATAAAGTCACAAAAAATTAAACTAGTTACTATACATATTTGTCTATGAAAATAATTTAATGCTTATTAAATATTAAAATATAAGTATACGTAAGATAATAAAATCAAACTAGTTACTATACATATTTGTCTATGTCACACTTCATTAAGTAAGAGTTTTTGTTTACAAAAAAAATATTTGTTTACAAAAAAGATATTCAATTTTTTTAATGCATTTGGAATAGAGAATTGAGGAAACTAACTTAGGACTTTAGACTTTAGATGTACTTTTTTTAAGAAGGGGCTTAAATTGATATCACAACATTCAGATAAGGAGTAAAAAGATAAAAGAACCACAGACAAGCATCAATCGTCTAACTAGATTTAGAATCAATCACATTCAAAAAATCATATAAATTGTTTAAATGTACAATAATAAATTTTACACACAGCATTTCATATTTGATCCGCTGCATTCTCGTGCAACGCGCATAGAAAGAAGAATTTCACTCCACATGTAATTACATGATCAAAATAGTTATACAAAAATCAAGCAATTACATTATCAAAATGATTCTACCAATGTCTTTTCAACATTTCAGCTTAAAAGACATGAGATCATGTCATTGTTTATAGGCAAAAATTATTTGAGTTGTACTTGATCACATCCCATGTGATCACGTAAAAAGAAAGACATTATAGGAGTATATACTTAATTCCGTCCCGAAAAGGTTCGCTATATTGATTTTTCTTGATCAATAATGACAAATTTTGGACAATGATTTTAATTATTATGTTTGTAAATAATTTATAAATTTTATAGTTTTATGAAAACATTTTGAATAATGAACATTTTGATATAATTTTCATATTCTAAATAATTTCGTATTAAAAAATATCATTGGTCAAAGTTGATAGGTATTGACTAAAAAAGTCAATTTGGCGAACCTTTTCAAGACGGAGAGAGTATTAGCAAATGGGATGTTCTTAGAATCATGTACAGAAATGCACAATTTAAAGGAATCAAATAAGCAATCAAACTTTCATAAAAAGTGCAAATAAGTCCATAGGAGGCTTTGTCCGGCTGTCGTCATTTGGGGCGATTTCGGTGGAAGATTTTGATGAAATTTTTTTAGCATCTTCTTCATTCAGTCTAGTTTACCCATACCGAATTTCAGCTAAAAATTCAATCAAGAAAGCAGTCAAATGATTTTCTGAAATATACTGTGTTGCCTAACTGTGCAGTTATCTTCAAAAATTCATTCGACTACCTTCACGGTTGAATTTTTATCTGAAATTTGGTATGAGTAAACTGAAGGAGAAAGCAACCTGACCTTAGATTATATCCCGGCACACTTTCCGGCTCGCAACGGCTCAAACGGGCGGGGGCTCTCTATTTGCTTGCAATGTCGGCGGTTCGCCCGGAAGCAGCTCATATTATTCGTCTTTTAAGGGACCAGATGTCGAGGATCAAGAGGTAGTTTCCCCACACCGAATCTATTTTTTTTTCTTGATTGAAGGTGTGCTTTCGATAGGGAGTGTAAGAAAAGCAAATGCTAACGTCGAGTTTTTGTTATGACTTAATGAAGAAGATGCTCAAAAAATTGTATCAAAAAATTCCACCGAAAACCGCTCCAAATGGGGACGGCCGGACAGAGTCTCCTATAAAAGGGTTTATTTGCACTTTTTATGAAAGTTCGAGGGCTTATTTGTTAGTTCTCTCAAGGAATCAGACTAACCTACCCCTTCAACCAAAAACTCACAATTCATGACTGAAAATTGATGGATATATTATCCAATTATATTTATAAAACCAATAAGGGAACACAGAATTCACAATTATACACCCACTAGTCAGAAAAGCTCTACATTTAAAACATATCATATTTCCAAGAGTGCCCATGTTTTAGACAGCTTAGTGATGGGCTCTTCTAAGGGAATGGAAAAAGCTACCAATTGATTTCTCCTTGTGCTTCTCCTCTCCATCATCTCCAACCTGTTTTTAGGACATTCGAACAAAGGAAAAAAACTTCCTAAGTTATTACTCTCTTTTAGCACTAGCCTTAGCAATCATAGGCAAGTTAGCTTTTTGGTAAATGAAAGTGTTACCCCTTTGGCAATTCGCTGCAAAATCTCCAAAATCTCTGGGAACTCGGGTCTTTTATTGGGATCTTGCTGCCAACACTTTTCAAGCAGTTCTGTAAGCTTAGGATGTGTATCCTTGGGTATTGTTGGTCGTAGTCCCTGAGAGGCCATTTCATCAATTCAAATATGTACTGTGAGTTTACTATCCTTTCCCTAATGTTAGAATTTCGGAACACATAGATTGCTAGGTAAAAACTGTGGTATGTAAGAGAGGATAGATGGAAGAAAAGGACATTAGGGCTATATTTAAAAGTTTAGATACTATTCGTTTTGTTCAAGCTCCTCTTATTTAAATATTTCTAATGGATATAAGGAAACATAAATATATGAGAAAGTAATATGTTTTAAAAATAAAACATAATTTTTCTTCATATATTTCAAGGTAATACAAAAAACATAAAGATCTATTTTCATTGCCATTTTCTAGGATCAAACAAAACATAGCCTAAAGAAAGAAAGACTTGCCTGTTGAACAACTCCAACGGCTGCTTGTAAAGGTGTTAGGAATGCATATGGAATCTACACATTTGATTGGTTACATAACAGGAAGACAAATGTCAAATCCTTAGTGACATGGGCAACCGGAAACAAAATTGAGATTCACAAATAATGTAACGAAATGCGCAAAGACTTACTTCTCCCGTAAGAAGTTCCCACAGCACTACTCCAAAGCTGAAAACATCTGCTTTGTGATCGTATGGTTTGTGCTCAATCACCTTCAGTTGCAGAAACCCCCAATTTACTCACTTGAGAGAAAACTGTAGGAGGAAAGATAATTCCAGAAATCAATATTTGCATATACCTCTGGAGCCATCCAACGATATGTTCCAGTTTCTGCAGTCATGACTCCAGTTTGAGTCTGCACTCTAGCAACCCCAAAATCACCCACCTTGACAACCTTGTCAATCAAGTGAGAGAAGAGGGATAAAGAGAAAGTAACAGTCCATCAGGAACACAGAAAATGTCAGGGAATGAAATAGGGGGGAACATGTAAAGAAAATTTGGGGAAAATTAATATATTGGTTCAAACACAATAAAAATTGCTTTAGATATGTTTCCATACTCTTATTTTTCTAATGTAAATTCAAAAAAAAATAAATTTGCACACACAATTTTCAGCGCGATTTTCACTATGGGTCATTCGGAAAGTCTCTTTGTGCTTTAGTACAGGGTAAGACTGCGTACATCTGACCCCCCTTACCCCACCGTAGGTGGGGTAAGCCTTTGAGGCACTGGGGTAATGAAGATCATGAGATGACACACACACATTCCATAGTAGTTTCTTTCCTTCTCTGCAATTTTCAGCACACAAACATAATTTAAAGCTGGCGTTGAACTAAATGTATATCTGGCAGAGCCTCTAAGGACTTCTCATTCCTGTAGAGAAAGTAGAGTAACAATGAATGTTACCGTGCATAAATAATAACGTACTTACTCCATGCTCATTCATCAAAAGATTGGCAGACTTCAAATCCCGGTGAATAATTTTGTTTTGGTGAAGATAGCTCATTCCTTTCGAAACATCAATTGCAACCTTGAGTAGGGTAGGAAGCTTAAAAGTTCCTTTTTGCTTGTGCATGAAATTATACACACTTCCTCTAGACATGAACTCTGTAATTTCAACATTCGGAGAAATCCACACGTTACAGAACTTAAATGTACTTCTAAATGCCGTGAAAAGAGATGCATAACATGGAAGTTCAAAAATATGTTTCTGCACAATCATGATGACATTTTGCAAGTCATTGAAATGAACGCAATTTGAAATTAGGTGAGATATAAACAAAAACAAGCAGCTGATGGGATTGTGTTTATTAACCCGGCCTACATAAGAATGAATAACACGAAAACAATCCCAGAACAATGAATATTTAATTAAGTACTTATTATAGCTTTGTAGTTCAGACAAATTACCAGTCACAATGCACAGGTTTGGTTGCCGAGTACATGCCCCTATGAATTGGACAACATTTTTGTGTCGGATTTTCCTAAAAAGAAAAAAAATGACAGTTATAACTAGGATGGAAGGAACACCAAATAAGAAGCTGTAGAAACTACTTAAACCCTAGAAGTAAAATTTAATTTGAAACACCAGAACAGTGTACTTCATATTTACATGCTTTCATACATACTCATCATTTAAGAGGTCAAAATTTTCATTTTTGAAATACTGATACACAGCACAGTCTCAAATAAAATGAAAAACCAATAAATCATGGCCGTAAATTCTCTTTCTGTTAACCAAGTCATCCTTACAGATGGAGAAAAAGCCAAATGCAGCAGAGTTTGTGGACTTCATCAAGAAGAACTGCAAATGGCTTCAGTTACAAAAAGAAAAAGAAAGAGAACTCCACTCTCTAATAGAAGGAGAAAGTAACAACAACTATAATAATAATGCCAATAGAACCAATAACCATAGTCATAACAAAACAACAATAATAATAATAAAGTAATAAGTTAAATATAGTAATAATATTAATAATAATATAGTAATATGGAGTAAAAATCATCATGATTACACACAACTCGTGAAAATAAATTCATCAACCTCTAATTGAGAGCTAGTGAATGAAGACATTGGGCAACCATTGAACAAACCTCATGATGAAGACCTCCTGAGAGAACTCTTTCAACATATCGGTGCTCAAATGCTCTGCCTTAAGAACTTTAATGGCCACATCCTGACTACAATATGTGCCTTTATATCTGGAGAGGACACATAAAATGATCCACCATGACTGTACACACTAAACACAACTAGACATCCAAAGAGTGAACTTGCGGAACTTACAGATCTCCAAATGTACCAGAAGCAACTTTGTTTTCAAATTTCAACATGCATGCATTAATTTCCCAATCATCAGTTCCATCTGTAGGTATCTTTACACATCCAGTAGAGTTAGACTCAGATGTTGTTTGGCAAAGATTATCTGTAGGGATCTGGATGAGTTGTTGTGGATGCTCCTATGAAATATTGCCAGCAGAACCATTAGCTGCTCATAGTCTACAAATAATGGACTGAGGAAAAGATTACAGATGTTAAAAGTTAAAACAGTGTAGAAGAATCTTGGGCGTATAAATTGCCCAAAAGGTACAATGCGACTATATTGCAAGGAAAGTGAACCATCACAACAAAACAATACTGGAATCTAGAGAATTTGATCAGACAATGACAACAACTCCATATCTTTCAAATATGACATGCAAGGAAGGGTATAAGTTACCTTTATCTTCAAAACTTTCTTTTGTATCTCAGTCTTGAGCATCTCGGTTTCCTGGATATCCACATGAAAGATTTAGTACGAACTAAACACAAACAATTTGGTAATCAGTGCTAATATATGCACCTACTTTAGACAAATATTCACTTTCAGAACAAAAAACTATAGATTCCTATTTGACTCTGGGGCAAATACGAAGTCTTTTAGCTAAGAGCAAATATGTGAATGTCTCAGGATGCATGAGATTAACATTTGAATGGTTATTAGTTAGTAGACATTCCAACTGTCTATAAAGATGGATCAAACTATACCTCATAAGGCCATCCGTCAACTACAAAGACATCCAAGGAGAATCCATCTGTAGTTGAAAATACATGAGCTTCTTCAATGTTGAGCCCAACCTCAGAAAGTATAGACGTTAACTGCAAACTCAAAAAAAAAGCAATGAAAATAAGAACTGAAAGATTTAAAGGAAGCAATATTATGAAAAAAGAGGCTTGAGGTGGCCGGTGGGAAAGAACACACCTGAGCGAGAAGCTTTGGCTTGTCAACAGTTGAAAAGGTAATTTCATGCATATTCCTGTGAAAACAAACTTTGATATAACTAAGCACACAGATTTTTTAAATTTAAAGAAAAGAACTATACATCAACACAAACCAAAGCCAATACACATAAAAGAACTCATAAAGGTGCCAATCAGCCATGGAGAACTTAGCACAATAGTGCAATTGGACCCTGCAAAGGCTCTGAACTAAAAAAAGCTCCGTCCAAATAAAAAAACTCCAATCCCAGGAAAACAGCAATTGTCATACTTTGGTGGTAAACACTTCCTGTTTTCCCTGGTTGCTGATCAGGTGGCCTGCCACTTCTACATTTTAATGCTTATTTCTTATGTGGATAGTAATTAGGCCTCTGTAGTGACAATACACACTGGTAAACTGAATACCAAAAAAAACTTAAGTCTATCCTTGCAGCCTCCCCACAGCCATGTACTCGCAGTCAATGCTGTGTATTAAAGCAGCATGTGGATGCCTCTAATGTGCCACTAGTGCAAGGCCGGTGAGCTGCAATCAGCAGTCTATGAGGTAGATCCTGGTCACCAGTATTCATGAAGAGCTCCGCCACACAGTCCCCAAATGCGGCAACTGACTGTCACAATTTTACCGGATTTCGCCTCCTTTGCTAACCACATCCATTGACTGTAATTGAGACGCAGAGAGTTGCAAAGTCCATGGCTGAATGTTTCTAGAACTCTTTGTTGCACAACTGTTTTGTTCCAATACTTTTATTAATGAGATAAAGTTTGTGTACATGAGTTTAGAAAATTGCAATACTCAAAGTTTTGAGTAGCTCTTGAAGTATTGCTTTTTCCCAGAGTTTAGGAATTCAGGTGGAGCTTTTTTAGTAGGAGGGTCCAATTGCTCTACCCTGAAAGTGCAATAGTTTATGTAGCACTTTCCCCAATAAGTCCATTAGCCCATGATCTACACATCCATTTCAATATTATCAATTTTGCAAAGAGAAATTACAACAAATACAATCTCATTTCATCACTCTCTTATAATATTGTTGATGCAAGTGAAAAACCTGTAATGATTATAATTTCAGATTCCATCTTATTTTTTCTTCTTAAGAAGGTTCCGGCAGGAAGAACATTCAAGTAAACTTGAGACTGTTTCTTGCATGAATTTATAGCATTACTATTTATACAATTGAGACAAAGTTCATGCCGTGAATCTCAATGAAGTTGGCTTCAAGGATATGGTGATTATAGCAGCACACAAAAAATTACTAAAATTGTTCTACAATTTAACATCCTTTTTTCAGCAAATAAAATAAAACTGACCACTACAAGAGGGGAGAAGGGATCAAGAATCTAAATGCTTCTTGCATACTACTAGAGCAATTGGTACCTGGTAATAAATAAGAGACTATCATAAAAAAAACACTAGGTGTCTTTTAATTGAACTCCCTTGATTATAATAATCACTAACCAATACAGAACATGCAGGAGTAACATAAATTTCACAGTTTTGCCATTTTAAAATGAAGTAGTGTTACCTGAGTGTCCGTGAAGTTGAGTTAATATCACTCTCTACATCACTAACACGAGCTTTGTCATCATGGAGCTCAAGGGCTTGAAGATTAGGTGAGGACCCGAATGTTGGAGGGGGGTGCAAACTGATTATGTTAGAGAGAAGAGAAAATGAGATGGAATGATAAATGACTTGTATTCATAAGCAACTACTCCGTATAAAATACCTATGGACTTCATCTTTCTTTGGAGAAACCGCCGCATCAATCGAATCTAATGAAGCTCCGGAGTGTACCTACATTAGATTTAGCAGAAGAATAATGTGAATTCCCTCATACAAGTGAAATGAACCAACAGACTTTTGACGCCTTACACCTAGAGTGTCTTGGTTATAACATACAGGCATACAACAACAACATCCAAGCCGTGTTCTCAAAAGGGTCTTGGTTATACCATCTTCCAACCAAATCCAATTGAACATGAAATCTAGATAAACATCACACTCAGTATACATATAAATGAATATCACCCTTCTTAATTCTCAAATATTGTTCTCAGCACTTATAAAAAAGGTAACAGTAAACATAAATTGACCAGGGTACTACGGCAATGACTTACAAAATTACAAAACAGAGTAGGCAAGAACCTGCACAAGGCGGACTTCCAATGCCGGCCTTTTTTCTGGATCCTCAGCTAGATTCAGTAATCTCTTATGCATGAGCACATCTTCAGCTCTTTCAACATTCACATCCAATACATATCTGCATGCAACCAAATTCATCATAACATGTTCCACCACGGGCCCAGCCTCAAATTACATGATACGCCTAAATTCCATCCCGAAATGCAAACATGAAAAACCTTCCGGATCGTTCACACTAATCCAAGAGCCGAAAGAAATAGAGCAGGTAGAAAATTGGGCATGCATGTATATGTTTCTTGAAAAATATTCTAGGGTTTATGAGGTTAAACCTAGCAGGTAAGCGATTGAAATGAAGCCAGAGCTGATCTTCGAAGCCTGGGAGTTTCACGTCGTCGAAATTCAAATCCCTGAGCCGGCTTAGCACTTCGGAGAAGACTTCAAACCGTTGACTGTGCTGCCAGGAGTGCTTGGGCGACGGCGGCTCCACCGCGTGGCTCCCGCAGCTCTCGTTGTCATCGATCACCATTTCAAAACTTCTTAAGAGACAGAAAAGACTAAATGGGAATTAGCCCAAAGATTTCGTTATGCGCTAACGAAATCGAGCATGACGGAAGTACAAGATCAGACTTTTCTGTTGCAAATTATGACAGATTCATGAGAATTGAAAGATAAAAATAAGGGGGGTGACGGTGGTGGTTTGGATGTTGAAGAAAGAATCTATTTTGCCATGCGGTTTTTGGTGAAGAAGGACGAAGGTAAAGAGTGGTGGTGGGTCCATATATTTTTAAGTTGGACTCCTTACTTGTAACTTATCCACTACTGTTGGATTCGGAAATACATACGGAGTATCCGTTTATAATTTTAGATCCGGTTTTGGAGTTCAGACGTCACACTTTTAATAAAAACCGGACCCAAAAATGATCCAACTAAATGACTAGTCAATCGGTCAATGCAAAGAAAACCGGTCAATATTTATAAAAAATGATAATAATACGAAGAGTAAGGATGTTTTTATTTGGACTGTAATTTGCTGGTCTGGTCTGGTCTGGTGATCAGGTCTGGTCTGGTCTGAACTGGTCTGGTCTGGTCTGATCTGGTCTGATCTGGTCTGGTCTAGTCTGATCTGGTCTGGTCTGGGACGAATTACAGTCCAAATAAAAACATCCTAAAATGCATAAATGATCCTTGAACTATCATCACCATATCGTTTTGGTCCTCGAACTATTAAATCTATCATTTTAGTCCTTAATCTATTTGATCTATATTAATCGAGTCCTTCCGTTTGATTTGCCGTTAACTTTGACGGAAGCCAATTAATTTATTAACATCTCATAATTTTAAACATTTTGAAATAATACAATCATTCTTAAAATTTAAGTAGCTAATCTAGTTTTTTAAAAATATAAATATATGTACACATATACATATAAAAATTATAAATAAATAATATAAAATCAAATCTACGGACTAAATAATACGTAGTATATAAGAGAGAATCAAATAATCAATTACGAAGTATATACATATGAGAAGATAAAATTAAATAAGAAAATGAGGGTGATTGTTATTATTATTAATTATATTAATAAAAAAATTAAAACTATGTATGACTTAAACTCTCCACTTTCTCAATACATGACCTCATTAGTTCCTCCCCCCCCCCCCCCCCCCCAAAAAAAAAAAAAAAAAAAAACAATACTTTGTATTTAAATTCATTTATTAAAATAAATAAATAAATTTTATGGACTCATTTCCTAAAAACCACATCGCCGCAGCACACACCTACCATGAGTAGGAAGTTAAAGTTTTAGAATATCAATCTAAGAGTGTATTCTGGTAAAAAAATGTAAGGACATATTAGTCCATAAAATTTATTTATTTATTTTAATAAATATTACGAATTCATATACGGAGTATTGAGAAAGTGGAAGAGTTTTAATCATACCTAGTTTTAATTTTTTATTAATATAATTAATATTAATAATAATAATAACAATCACCTCGTTTTCTTATTTAATTTTATCTGCTCATATGTATATAATTGACTATTTGATTCTCTCCTGTATACTACGTATTATTTAGGCCGTACATTTGATTTTATATTATTTATTTATAATTTTTATATGTGTATGTGTACATATATGTATATTTAAAAAAAACTAGATTAGCTACTTAAATTTTAAGTGATTGTTTATTCCAAAATGTTTAAAATTATGAGATGTTAATAAATTAATTAGCTTCCGTCAAAGTTAACGGCAAATCTAACGGAAGGACTCGATTAATATAGATGAGATAGATTAAGGACTAAAATGATGGATTTAATAGTTCGAGGACCAAAATGATATAGTGATGATAGTTCAAGGACCATTTATGCATTTTACTCTAATACAAATATAGTACATATTCTCTCTGTCTCAAAAAAAATTCTTGTTTGACCTATATACATATTTACGTAAGATACTCCCTCTGGTCCTAAATAAACTTCACACTTTGACTTCACTCAAATTAAGGAAATAAATTTGACTTTACTGTAAAGTACACTGTTGTGACACTGCTTGACAATGTTTTGGCACTGTTTTACACTGTTTTGATTTAGATAATTTTCCAAATAAGGAAGGGAGAAGAAGTGTGAAGTTTATTTTGGACCAAACAAAAAAGGAAAGTGTGAAGTTTATTTGGGACCAGAGGGAGTAGATTTTATTTTGACCTTTCAAATATGCCTTTATCATATGCCAAATCAAAAAAGAGACAAAAATAAGGGTCATTGTAACTTTTGTATCTTTTTATAAACGGATAAGGCTCAAAATGGACACTAGAGTTATCTAGGAAGTTCATATTGGACACTTAGCTTTTAAGTGGACCAAATTAACACATAAGACACTTATTTGGATAACAATTGACCACCCACTCACGTTTTATTTTAACGGTGTTTAACAGCCCTTCATAGTTCATATCATGTAACTACTCACGTCTCTCCTTCTCTATCTATATGTCACGCCCCTTACCGCATCCGAGCCACGTAGACAACCACCGTACAACCCAATAAGAACAACAACGGTTCATCCCTATTGAATTGTACAAGACGTCTGATTGATTCTATTGCCAAACCGATTAGTAAACACATACAATCAACATCAATATCATAATCAAACGAATGCGGAAATAATAATTGATGGAGTATATGGGTCTGAGCCCCTGGACCCACATACTCGGAAGAACAGAAAGCACAAGACACCGAGTGGCGCCCACGTCGGCCAAGGGACCCCCGTCGGCCGAGAAGGTGCCAACTCAGATTATGGTCCTGAGCCCAAGGGACCCGGGTGCCCTCGTCGGCCGTGCCCTCGTCGGTCGTGCCCTCGTCGGCCACGCCCTCGTCGGCCACGAAGACCTCACAGAACCGGATTTTATACTTACTCATTCGTACAGCCCATTAGTGGCTTTGTATTCGGCCCAGTAGCGGTCCAGTTGTAAATGGGCCTCCCAAGCCCAAGGCTTGGGAGCCCAGCCCGTATTTTCTCTATAAATACTCCCCTTGGGAGTAGTTATAGGGGTTACAAAATCATTCTATTGAAGCATATTATTGCACTTCTCTCTCTCTAGCTCTCACTTCTCTCTAGATACACTCTATCATTTGGTGCTCTCGTTGAGAGCTAGAACAATCAAGTTAGCACCCTTCGTCGCTACCAAGCACAGCTAACCACTGATCATGGGAAGAACTAAATCAAACGGAAACCTCGTCAGCAAGGCCATCCCTGAGGACCAAGAGCCCAGGGAGCACGATGAGGATGCCACGGCCGACCAGGTCGGCGGGGGGGACGTCTTCCAGGAGGCCTTCAACCTCACGGCGGACCTCCGCAACCAACTCAACGGCGGAGCCCCTGATGCCCGCATCGGCTTGGACAAGAAACGAGCTGAGAAGACGGACCACGCCCCGGCCCAGCCTATGGCCGCGGCCTCTCCGTCCGTGGATCCACAGGTCCAGGCCGCGCTGTCGGTCATCATCGCCAGCCTGGCTCAGAACCTGTAACACCGTCCCCAAATGTATTTACCTTTAAGCGAATAATTTATTGAACCTTATGAAGTTTTTAGTGAATTTACGAAGTTGTGAATTTGTATTATATTTTTTCGCGTGAATAGTAAAATGCACGTGGGGCCCACATCGGGAGTGGGGACCGCCCGATATTATCGGGGCCACATATTATATTGATCTTGGACTAGATAATATGTATATGGTGGTGGATATCCTAGTTGAGCCATGACAATGGCATAGGGTTGACCGGTTGGTCAAACGGGGCCAAATTATCAGTATCGGCAATCTATCAGATAACAGCCCGAAAAGGGATTTCGGAGACTTCTAAATTAAGTTGAGGGATGCATATTGATTCTAAGGTCCATTAAGAATTGGGAACAAGTGTTATATTTTATTTGACCCGATAAAATAAAATATACTTAAAACAGTCCGGAAAAATACAACTTTCAGGGCAAATTGCACACTTTGGGACAATTAGGATGACCTCCCACATGGGTGGGGGCCACCCCACGAAATTGTCAACCCTTGAGGGCTGGATGAGTGCCAAATTGGCTGAACAACAATTGAGAGGATGGGGGAGACACCTTTGACATGTAGTAGACCCCCTCCCTTCACTCATTTGTCTAAATGAGACAAAAACCACCCCTCTCACCTCACCATCTCCACCCACACAATTCAGAACCCTAGGATAGCAAGGAGGGGCTCTGAAACTTCTCATCTCCATAGCCCAAATCCGAACTCAAGCTCAAGGGAGTCCAAGAAGAAAGTTTAAGAAGGAAAAAGCTAGGAAAAAGTGTGAAAATTAAGGTAATGACCTTATCATAACTTTTCCTTTGTTTTTCTTCTAGCATATAAGATATATATCATATGAAAGACCTTTAGTATTGTTCTACATGATTTAAGTGTGGAATAATGGGTTGGAAAGTGATTCTAAGTCCAAAAACGGACTTAGAAGCCAAATCGACCGGTTTGCCGGAAAATAACCTTTTATAGGTTATTTGTGTTGATATGGGTTTTGTGATGATAAAACCTTGTTAGGAACTTGATTTAAAGTATTTTTGAGCTTCGCCGGAGTTTCGTCGGAGTTGGTCAAAGTTCGCCGGAGTTGGTCAAAGTTCGCCGGAGTTGGTCAAAGTCCAATCGAGAAACGTAGAACGCGCTTAAGCTTAATTAAGGTGAGGATGACCGACTATGTTACTTATAATCTTTGGGTTAATTTCATGGGATTTCCTAAGTGAATACAAATGTGATGTGTATGAGTTGTTAATGGTTAATGATGCCTAAATGAAACTACTATTGATTATAAGTATAGTATGCATGATACACAAATTTATGAATAAATTGTGTATGTTTAGATGTTGTGAATATGTGTGTATGATGGTTGTACCAACCATGAATATCACTTGAGATAGTATACTTTGATGCCATGAGGAGAAGCTATGAGGGTATGAAAGTGATACTTGATATTAAGGCCAATTGTGCAAGAAGAAAGAATTATATTGAAATAAATAAATAACTAGCATTGAAATATTAGTTGGAAATGTTAGTTGAAAAATGGATGAATTAGATCCTAAGAATTTGAATTATAAGGAATCGGTGATTATGAGCCGGGCTCAAGACCGATGTAGATGACGGTGATTATGAGCTGGGCTCTAGACCGTAGTAGATGACGGTGATTATGAGCTGGGCTCTAGACCGTAGTAGATGACGGTGATTATGAGTTGGGCTCTAGACCGTGGTAGATGACGGTGATTATGAGCGGGGCT